TGTGTGTGAGTGTATGTGTGTGTGGTGTGTGTGTGAGTGTATGTGTGTGTGTGGTGTGTGTGTGTTTCTCCATCTCCTGTTTTCTCCCTTCGCTCACGTCATCAACAGCGCGACCCGTGCCGAGCTCAATCTGAGAACGCTGCTACATTGTAATATTGAACTACAAGAGTTAGAGAGGATGCAGGTTTGTGAGTACATGTCCACGGCTACATGTACGTTTGGAGACACATATGTTGTAGCTTACGGACTGGACGATTTGTTGTTTTCCTATGTAGAGTGTGATATATGCAGCAATGACGTTCTATCATCTGATATCTGTTGGGTAATTATTTGAAAGGCATATCTTTTGATATATATTGTTGATCAATACATTGTATCATTCATTTTAGATTATTCTGATGATCAAATGATGGCCGTTGGTTATGAAATGAATGGATGATAAATGTGAACTGTGAACTGTCATTTTTTAAAATCTTTCTCAACAAGAAGAAGGGTTTTTCTGCAAAAATAGGATAAATCCATCTTTGAAATTTGTGTGAGAAATGGATTTTCACAGTTTACATCTTCAGTGCTCTTTGCATTGATGGGAATCAATTGTATGTTTTTGTTTGTGTGTCCTGTTTAATGTCAAGTATTGAAACTACTCGAATGTTTTTCTAAAAACATGATTTTATTACAAGCTGTATACATTTTTTACGTTTCTTTTTGTAAATGTCAGAAACTGTTTGATCTCCTTCCAAAACGAAGTTATCCAAAGGTTACATGTATAATAAACAAAGTTTTTTTTCCTTTAGTTATTCCTATTTTTTTATTACATTTTTATCTCGGTAATTTCTGACGGTATTTAGCGGAGACATGTGCTGTTTTCTGGGTATATCCTCAAGTCACGATTTCCCACATTGAACTTTAGAAAGAAAATTTGACTTCAAACGTGAATGAATCTTTGAGCTTCGTATGTGTGTGTGTGTGTGTGTGTGTGTGTGTGTGTAGGTGTGTGTGTGTGTGTGTGTGTGTATGTGTGTGTGTGTA